TATTTAGTCCATATTGAAATGATAATATTTTCAACCAATTGAATTAAATAAAATACATTATGAAAATTAATTCCACCTGTTTCTTCTAATCTTAAATGTAGATCCCACAAAATTTTAAATTACCTACATGGTTTCATTTTTTTTTTTTTCTATTGGAAAGAGCTGTACTGCAAATTCATCATATCAGTCACTTGCTTTTGAAAAAGGAGAGGGAACTTTCTGGCGCCTGAAACAGAGGCTAAGTCTTAGCTTTGGAAATACAATGAGAGTCCACAGGATGGTGGTGAAGAGCAGGGACCCTGGGGTCACAGGACCTTGGTCCTGTAGCCGCGTCAGTCACTTTCTAGTTCTGATTCAGACAAGGTGCTCATCGTCCGTGTCTCAGTTTTCACATCTGTGAAGTGGGGTGACAATGAGAATGTTAGTCTCATACAGTGTTTACGATAAAACACTGATGAATATGAAGTGCTGTGAATGGTGCTGATACATATTAAGCATGAACGTTCACTTCTCTGTTGTATTCATATAATTAATTCTCATCTTTACACTTAATATAAACTAAATCATCAGAATAGTAATAGGAGGAAATTACGTACAAAGAAAGTTTGGTTTTGAGACATCTGACATTGCAAAGTTTCTCAGCTACACCAAAACGCACACTCTTGTGCACACACACACACACACACGCGCACACACACACACACACACACACACACAGACACACACATACACACACAGGCACACAGGCCCACAGATGCAGTGCCCTTTTCTCAGGCCACAGGGCACATTCAACAGCCAGATGACATGCTCACTAGGCCTTTGGGCCCAGGGACCTGGTCCTGGTTTTTCAACACAGACATCACAGATGTCCCGGCATCGCAATAGCAGAACTTCTTCACGCTTGTAGAGACCTGTGACGTGTGTCATCTCAGTGGAGTGAGTCCTGAGTGTGACTCCTGGCCCTGGGAGAGGTTACCTAGTTCTGCAGAAACTGAAAACCTTCCCTGAACACATTGAGGTCAGTGTGTATCGTCTGACCTGTCCACATAGGGGAGCATGGATGGCAGAGGGGACCGATGTGCCTCAGGGTTGGGGCTGGTGTCACTGAGGGGAAGAGACTCTAGGGCAGAGAGGGCAGGGGCACCTCACACCGATCCCTCCATGTCAGCACAGAAAGCCACAAGGTGGGATTTAATGAGAACTTAGACTCGCCACATCCACACAGAGTTAAACTGAGTCAGAACAGCCGGGGCCTGTGTTTGGAGGAGGAGCAGGTGAGCTTGGTGTCTTGGGGACTGTATCAGGAAGGCAGCTGCCACTGAGTCACTCACTGAATATATGAAGTCCTTGCCTCACTTACAGCCTAGCTGGGAGGCCATGGGGGCCACCTTGTCGTGTGTCATGATTTGCTCACTGTGGTGATGTCAGGGATCACGGATGGAGCCAGGATATCCAGGTTCAAAGATGGTTCATTCAGGGGGAGGATCAGAGTCGTTCTGGGCTGTCAGTTATGCGTCACCTCATCTCTGAGAGTTTGGTGGTGCACCTCAACCTGCAGGCCTCCAAGGACAGGGTGGTGTCCACCATGGCAGTGACACCGTTGGTGGATGAATTCTGTCCCCCAAGTTCATGTATTGAACTCCTAACCCCAAGGCCGTAGGATGGGACTGTATTGGAAACAGGAATGTTGCAGTTCATTGAAGATGAGGTCATACAGGAGCAGGGTGAGCCCCTAATCCCATTTGACGGGTGTCCTCATTAAAAGGAGAAATTTGGAGACAGATACTCACAGGGAGAATGCCACATGAAAATGGAGGCAGGATCTACAAGCCAAGGACACCACAAATGTCTGCAAACCCCCAGAAGCTAGAGGATAGGCAAGGAGCAGATGCTCCTTCACATCCCACAAAACCAACACTGTTGGCAATTGATTTCAGATTTTCAACCACCAAACAGTGATATAATCAATCTGCACACTCAGCCTCCAGTGTGTTGTATCTGTTACTGCAGCCCTAGCACCTACACAGTCCCTGCTAAGGACACTACTGTTCTCAGGACATGTTTCTGTCTCTGTGATCACATCACCTGGGGAGAGGCCTCCTGCCATGAGCTTACTTCTTCTGAAGGCTCTGAATCTCCTCCCAGAGCCTGTCTCAGTCCCCAGGCAGCACAGTGTCTCCTAAACCTAAGACCCTCTGTCCCCTTGCCTGCTCCATCTGGGGTCACAGTGAGGAGCTATGCACATGGTCTCCAGTCTGTCCTGTTCCATAAAAACATTCTGTAG